AAACAACAAGCCCAAACCAAACAACAAGCCCAAACCCCCAAAACCAAAAACCAAAACTAACCAAAAAAAAAAAAAAATACTTTATAATCAGATATCTTGGATTTTTACACCACCTTACCTGTAAATTATATATACATAGAATATTGCAGAATTATATCTAATACACAATATTTTCACTATTAATGCTGGTATAATCTTTATACACTGGCCCTTATGTTTCTTTTTATTTTTTTTTTTAATTAAATTATTGCATTGTATAAACTTTGACTGCAAACGGCCCCCCCACCCCTGCCTCCCCCCTCCCTCCCTCGCTTCCCTCCCACCCCCCCTTTCCCTTGGCTATTCACTGTCCGACTTGCCGTCTTTCGCCGTGGTGGAGTGGTTGTAGAGCCCCTGGGCCATGAGGTGCACTGCCAGGGAGTTCTTACTGCCCGTCGCCTTCTTGATCTTGGCTCGCTTGTTCTGGAACCAGATTTTGATCTGGGACTCGTTGAGCCCCAGCTCCTGGGCCAGGCTCTGCCGCCGCTGCTCCGTCAGGTACCGGTTCGTCTGGAACTCGGCCTTGAGTCTCTGCAGCTGCTCGGCGGTGAAGGCGGTGCGAGGCCGCTTGTCCTCCTTGTTGGGGTTCTTCTTCTTTGGTTTGCGGGAGCGGGGACCTACGGCCGGGAGAGAGGAGAAGCACCGACCCCGCCACGCTCTGCTGCGGGCACAGCTCCCGCCTGGGGGGCACCCCGCTCCGGCAGCAGCACCCCCTCGGAGGGAAGGGTCCCCGCTTGGTGCCTCGGCTGCCAGGGATGCTCGGGAGGCGGCGGAACGGCAGCCGCAGCCCCCCGCAGCCCCCGCGCCCCGCTCGCTGCCCGGCTGGCCCCCCCTCCGCTCCCCCGGCCCTTTTCTCCCAGCCAGAAACGCAGTGACCGAGCCTCTGTGTCCCGGGAATGCCCGGCGAGGAAAGCTTGCACCGGGGGCAGAGGCATGGAGCTAAATTTTATACCCTGAACAGATTTTTTGTTAAGAAAACCTCTATACTTTTATACTTTTTTTTTTTTTTTTTTTTTTTTTTTTTTTGTGAGTCGCGGTAAAAATTATAATGGCAATCCTCCTGCAGTTTACTCGGCCAGCAGCATTCCGCCTCTCCTCTGCAGTGCCCATATGGCGCTGCACGGCCCGATCCGAATCGCCGGGATTATTCTCGGGAATATTATTCTCGGCAGCACAAGGAGCCTTTTCTGCCCGGGCCGAGCCATTGTGAGGATGTATGTTAATTAAATATTAACAAAGGACAGCACTGGAGAACAATGGAGTAAATTCCAATTCAGCTCGGAATATTACCTCTGAGTAAGAGTTTGTTTTCAGATATTACGAACTAATTTTCATCTCGTTTTACAATCCCTTCCTCAGCTAGCCGACTCCCGGGTGAAAATCCTACCTCGCCGCTTTTGTAAGAAAAAGACCCTTTTTTTTTTTTCTTTTCCCCGGGACAAGATTTCCTGCTTGATGTTTTCCATGCCTTCCTCCAGTGTTTTCTACTTGTTTTTAACCGGGGTTTTACCGATCTGCCGGAGCCAGCCCTCCTGTCCCAGCGGTAGCGAAAGGACATTTTACCCCCTGCTTGTTATTTTTTAATTTTTAAAAAAAAAATTTAAATTTTTTAAAGATAATTTCAGAACGTTCTGCCAAAACCCTTGCCAAGGGACGAACTCTGCTAAATAAGTTTCCCGGCTCTTGGAAATGTCCCCGGCCCCCACAGAGCTGACCTACAGCATATGGGGGGAAATTAAAAGAAAGAAAAGACACGGCGGCAGCTCGGAGGCCTCTTTTAGAGAAATAAGCGATCGCGGCTTGCTTTTGGCCAAAAAGACTAATCAAAACAAGGCGAGGCCTGCAGAAATGCCACCTCCCCTTTCCAAAACCCAGCGCAGGGGGGGTTTCCCGGCAGGGAAAAGGAGAGCTCGCCGGGAGGATGAGCGGGGAGCCCGAAGACAGTTGGTTTTTTCCTCCCTCTTTCATAAAACTCGTCAGTTGGTGGGAAATGCCCCGAGCCCAGGCGGCCTCAGCTCCGCCGCGGCGGCGGGGACAGAGGGAGGGACCCTCGTTCCCTCCTCGTCCCTGCGGCTCCGCGCACCCCCAGCCGACCCTGCATCTTCGAGCGGTTTCAGGCCGTTTTGAACAACTCGCCCATCCGCCAAAAAAAAACCAACAACAACAACAAAAAAAAACCAACACAAAACAACAACAAAACAAAACCCCCCAAAAATAATAAAAAAAAAACCACAAAAAACCAAAAAGCAAAACCCAGACAGGAAAAAAAAATAACCAGAAGAAGACGGAGAGGGAAAGGGGAGCGGAGGTTTTGCCACGCCGCTTCCCGGCCTCGCGGGCGGGCGGCGGCGGCCCGGGAGCCCAGAGAACGGGCAGCGCCGTGGGGAGCGGGGCTGCGGCGGGGCAGCGCTTACCTGAGGAGGGCCGGTCCGAGTACCGCGTGCAGTACACCCAGGCGGGCCACAGCATGGGCTGGTTCCCGGCGTTGGAGCTGGCCTGGGAGCTATCCGAGTCCGAGCTCACCGACAGGTCGCCGCCGCTCAGCCCCCGCGCCTTCAGGGCCGCCTCCAGCGCCGCGGGGTCCCC